TAAGAGGTTGTTGACATTCCTTCTGTTCTTTCTACTGTAATATGTAGAGACAGTGAAGCTTAATGCATGAGATAGAATAACTAAAAGATATTTCTTTAGTTGAATTAGAAAAGTGCAATTGTACCTCAACGCTGCTATGGACCAACGTAGGATTAAAAGGATGGGATTTTCTTAGAAGTTATTAACATTCCTTGTACTCTTTCTATTATAATATGTAGAGACAGTGAAACTGTTTTTTTTCTCTAAGAATAATTAGTCACTTCCCAACATAAATATAAAATATTTCTTTAATTACAACCCCTCTATTTGTAAATGCTTTTTTCTATCTCCATGGGAAATAATTCAAGACTCCAACATTCCTTATGACCAAAGCCTCTCTCACCAAAGCATTCATCATTTACAGATAGTATTAGCACAGCTTGGAGAATATTAGGCAAATGTTTACATTGAGTCAGCTAACAGTGCACCAACTGTATTCTACAACTCCTGCCAAAATGCAAGGGCTGTCATCATTTTAAATTAAATTATGGACCACACTATCTTAAAAATCTTTCCTTTAAACACTGGAATGCTAAATCATACTTTCATGTACTCTAAAGCACAATCAAACTGAGGGAACAGATGGCCAAGAGATCCACATTGCTTTGTCATCCCAGAGCCCAATCTGTGCTAGAACAGTGCCCCCAAACGGGAGTAAACAAATCTTATGTCTCTGTGCTGGACAATATGAAATGATCTGATTTGTTTCATCTAGTTATTAGTGGGAAAGTGTTCATACTGAAAAAAACCAAAGCATTACAGAGGCAAACTGGGGGAAGTTTTAACTGGGAGCCAAACTTGAATCAGCTCCTGAGATAAGTATGCAAGATACTGAGCCAAATTAAGAAGGAAGCATTTCAGCACAGCACAGCAAAACACCACCTAACATGACAAATTAAAAGAAAAGTTGATTTCTAAGGTCACTCTTTTTGCATATAATTAATCCATTCCTTTGATTTTTATTTTAAGGGACTGAAGATTGACAACTGGAACTTTTAGTATGATATAAATCAGGCTGGAAAAATATTATGCATTTCTTTTCCTATTTCAAAGAAAAGGTGAAGTCTTATGGTATTTGGAAGTATATGGTGTTTCTAGTAGGACCTCAATATGAGAACCATGGTCATTTACCCTGAAAGGTTTACATTCTAACAACCTGAAAATATAAATACATTTTATACAGATTTGGGTGGGGCATAGGAATAAGTCACATTCATTATTGACATCGTAAATATTTTTTAAAATTCCTTCAGAAAAAATTACGTTTTGGATTTTGCGCTTTTCATTAAAAGGCAGCCAAATGACTTTTCAAGATGCAAACTAGATATATGACCAGAAAGGATGCTGCTGCACTGTTCAAAAGCCGGACATGAATTGAGCCCTACTGGTTATTCCAGACAAACAAAAACATCATTCCCTAATCATCTGAATGACTCAGGACATGCAGAAGGGAGCTTGCTATGGCTCCTGGGGTTTTTCCCAGAACAAATATTGAGTTTTCTAGAAATATTAAAGTCAAGTAGCATTTGTTAAATGCCCACGGTGTGCCAGGCACTAAGCTGAGCACTGGGCACACACAGGAAAGTAAAAAATAGCCCCTGCCCTCAAGGAGCTCACAGTCCAAGGCAGGGGAGAACATGCAAACGGCTAAGTATGAACAGGATAGAGACAGGATAAATGGGGAAGAGTCTCAGAGGGAAAGGACAAAGATTAATGAAAAAATGAGGAAAGAGACAAGAAGCCCCACCACTTATTAATGCAAGACTAACTTCTGCTCCCTCAGGTCACCGCTGCTCCTCTAAATGGATGCTCAAAAACTTCTTTTCTGTACATCTTCCATTCTCCTGTTTATCAGGTGTGCTCCACATGGAGCATTTCTGACCAACAGTAAGAAGTGCCTCCTCAGAGTCTCCACAAACAAGAAGCCTTATTGCCCACAGAGTCCTTAGCAGAAGTTCACCTCACCACTCCTAATGTCCTTCCTCGAGAATCCAAGGGCAACAGTGAAGAGAAGAGAGGGATGACTGCATCTCTCTGCCACTGCCAGCTGCTCCCTGGGGCTGGGGGGGTGGTACAGAAGAATCATCACTGCTTTCAGGAAAGACCTGTGGTTTTCAATATCTAGGACAAGTGGACTAGCTGACGAAGGGGGTAACATCATGGGGGGAAGGAGGTGGACTCTTTCCAACAGCCCAACCATTTTTCTACATTGACACATACTTCAGATATGACAAAAAGATAGCAAGGAAACTCTTTCTTTCCCTCTTCAATCAATACAGAGTTACACAAAATAGTTTCTGCCCTTTACAAATCAGTGGCTTGGTCTAAAACATTACTTGAAAATCTACTGAGAAGTGTCCTAGCAAAACTGTCAAAATGTTGTGTTTTTGTAAAACGGCATGATCAAATGATCAGATCATGAATTGTACTTTCAATGAAACTATTAACCATACAAACCCCTGAATGCACAGATGACAGAGGTGGGGGCAATTGAAATGACAGTGATCCCTTCTTCCCAAGCCCCCACACCAGTGGGAGAGCCACTGCAGTCTGACCACCTCTGCTCATTATCCATGGGCGTGATGAAGCCCGGGAATTATGGGAGCTGGGAGGAGCAAAGAAACCATGGTTACTAAACAGAACCTGAAAGCTCTGATGAGACACAACAAATACTCATTTGAGGGGATCAGCACTCCATTTTATCCATGGGGGAAAGCTCCCCAACTGTAACTCACACAGCTGTTTTCCTGCCATCATGTAAGGAGCACACACTTCTTGCGATTTTGACCATCAATTCCTGAACTATGTATGCTGAAGATTATTATTTTTTAAAAGTTGCTTTAAGAAATGACAGGAAATTCATATGTATGTATGTATGTATGTATGTGTTATACATGCACTTACATATATACACATATATTTTTTGGTGCATACCTGGGATTTCACTGGTGTGAGGAACTCCAGGTATAGAAACTCCCTCCACCAAAGAAATAAATAACTTCTCTGTAATTTACAGTCTTAGGGACTCGTTTGGGTCCCTAAGAGATTAAGCAATTTATCTAGGGTCATACAGCCTGGATGTATTAGCAGCTGGATTTGAACTCAGGCTTCTTTGACAAAGTAATTTTCCTTATGTGCATATCTGACTCCATACCCCCTCCTCAAACTTCAGTGACTCCCTATTGCCTCTAGGACAAAGAAGAGACTCCTCTGTTTGGTTTTTGCATTCCTTCACACCCTTACTCTAACCTATCTTTTCAGTCTCTGTCTGTCCGTCTCACACACACACACAGAGCCAGTGCTGCAGTGGTTAGAGCACTAGAATTAGGAAGCCCTGAGCTGCTAGGAAAGTCACTTAATCTCTGTTTTCCTCAGTTTCCTCAATTGTACAATGGGAATAATAATAGCATCAGCCTCAGTGTTGTTGAAAAGAGACAATATTTGTAAAAAGTGCTCACCACAGTGCCTGGCACATAAGAGACTCTACAGAAGAGCTCATTCCTTTCTGTCTGTCTCCCTCTATGTACATATGTATATATGCACATATGTAAATACACACACACATTTATCATGAAGAAAAGAGACTTTCATTTTTTCATCTCTGTATTCTTGTGGTATATTTGTATTCTAGCCCTGTGCCTGGCACATAGTAGGGACTTGCTTGTTGATTGATTCCTGACTCCAAGGCAAGTCAGCTCTACCCATTATGCCATGCTGCTTCCCTAGAAACACATCACTCTATAAACAACATAAACATTAGTGATGCCCTTGGTAAAAGGAGGGAAAACAAACATGGAAGTCAAGCTCTACCTGAATAGCTCTGCTATTGGCTCTGGGATTCCATTCTAGTACCTGCTAACTCAGTAATGAAATAATTTCTCAGGGGCAGAAAATCTTGCAGAAATTCAACTTTTGAGGCAGCGGTCAAAATTCCATCTCTGCCAATAAATGCAGGCCATTCCCCAGGATCATTGTTCCAATATGAGATTCATTAGACACTGGGATGTGGGACATGAAATAGGTGACCTCTGCCTGCTGAAGATGAGAAGCCAAAAGCTCTGGCCTGACTCTAATACTTAAACCTCATGTATTCGCAGAGTTAAAGAGTATTTTCAGGTCTTGACTAAATACTACTGACAGGGAACAACTGAACGAGCTAAAGTGAAGGGGAGCCCAGTGACACTTATCCATGCTTCAAAATCTATCAGGTCAGAAGCTCTTTATAAAGCCAATCAATCATTAGCCAAAGAAACAGGGACCTCGGCCAGGGAGAAGGCAGATCAGCTGTGGAGTTACAAAGAGGCCTGACTGATGCTCCACCGGGCTTCTGGCTTGTTATACCCACAGCAATGCTAAGTACCCTAGAGAGGAAGGGGGTGTGTGTCCGATAAGAGCACTGGACCTAGAATCGGGAAGTCCTGAGCTCAAATTCAGCCTCAGATCCTAACTAGCTGTGTGATCCTGGGCAAGTCCCTTAACCTCTGCCTGCCGCAGTTTTCTCATCTGTATAATGGGAAAACAGTAGCACCTACCTCCCAGGGCTATTGTAAGGATATAAAATGTCAATATTTGTAAAGCACTTTGTAAACTTTAAAGTGCTACATAAAAGCTTCCTACTGTTAGGAATTGTGTGGGGTTGAAGGGGCAAGGAAAACAGAAGAAAAATTCTAGCCTGGCCAATCATTAAGTCTGGAGTATACTGACCGGGGAAAGCTGAGATGGCACGAGGAAAGGGAAGGGCAGGTGCCAGCATCCTGGGCCTCTCAGAGAAAGGAGAGCAGCCTCCGCAGCCGGGGCGCCTGGAGACTCCTGATCCAGGACGTCAGCTCCCCTCCACGTGATAGGGGCCCGCCGTCTTTCCGCTGACTTCCGCCCCTTCCAGGGCGGCTCCCGAGGCGGCTTCCGGGGTGCTGGCTCCGCCCTTTCCGCCGGCGCTAAATTCAAACGTACCGCCGCAGTGCACGCACTCGGGGCTGCCGGTCCTGGGAGCGGGAGCGTCCTGGCGTCTGGCGTCAAAGGTGAGTCAGTGTCCTCATCTGTACAGTGAGCTGGGGAAGGAAATGGTAAAAGCAGCTTTGCCAGGAAAACCCCAAATGAAAGCTGTATCTATATCTATCTATCTACATAGATATGTGTATAATATACTTATGATGCTTTGCAAATCTTAAAATACTACATAAAATTTAACTGTGATCATTATTACTAGTCTTAATCTTGCTTTGCTTTCGTTTCCTCAGCTGTGAAATAGAGGGGTTGAACTGCCTGCCAGTGTCCCTTCTACCCTTAAATCTGTGATGTTGGGTCCTGGGTGTGAATCCTGGCTCTGCTGCCAAACCACCTTGTGTGTGACCTCCAGCAAGTCTTTTTTATCAAGAGGCCTTCTCTGTTTTCCTCATTTGAAAAATGACAGACTCTGGACAAAAAACAATGACAGAATCGAAGTTGCTAGGTCACTTACAACTCTAAATTTGTGATCTTAAAAGGGCTCTTACACTTAGTCTCTACCTTACTTGGGTGGTGGAACTGTTTTTGTCTTTTAGGAATGAGGAAAGGGAGGCAAAGTAGAATTTTAAAATGGTATTAAATTTAGTAAGTACTGATTCAATTGAACACATGTGCATTGAGCCCCTGATAAAAGGCACTGCTTTAGGTGCTAGAAACACAAAGAAAAATAGGAATTGGGCCCATCTTCTGTGGGAAGATGGAAGGAATCAGGTGTCTTGCCTCACTGGTTCACTGCTTTTTCTATTAGACTAGTGATTTTCAAATTTTTTAGTCTCAGGACTCATTTATACTCCTTAAAATTATTGAGAACCTCCAGGAGCTTTTGCTTATGTGAATCATGTCTATCAATATTTACCATTTAGAAATTAAAATTGATAAATGTTTTAAATATTAATTCATTTAAAATGACAATAAGGCCATTACATTAACATAAATGTGTTTTATGAAAATGTGTTTTCCAAAACAAAAGTTTAGTGGGAAGAGTGGCATTGTTTTGCATATTTTTGCAAATCTAACATCTGGCTACTATGCGCCTGAGGCAGGATTTGAACCCACTGCTTCCTGCCTCTGTGCACTTGGCCACACTGTCTCTATGTAGATCATTAAATGTGGTCACAGAGGTTTGTGGGACTCACTACTGCAGTTACAAAAATCTATGACTTCATAGGTATCGGTATTGAATATACTAAGAAATGTGTAAGTGATTTTCCCTCTTCTACTTTTTCTTTCTTCTTGTGTAGAAAGACTGGCTTTTTTTCTAGATGTGAGCAATCAGTCATAGCCAATCTTATCCTTCTCTTTATGTTACTTAGAAAACCCAGAAAGTGCAACTTAGCTGTCAAAAACTTTTTGTTTTAGTCTATGCTTGAATGTAGAGCTATCCCTATACTTAGGGTTGATTGCTAGAAGTATGGCTCTGAGGTAACTAAGGTTTTGATATATGGCACTTTCTGCTTTCAACAATCACTTTTTGACCTCTGCTTCTGGGAGCCAGGATGGCTGAGTAAAAAGGTAGTTGCTCTCACCCTCCCCTATCAACTTCTGAAAACCCAGACAATATCCCTCCAGGAAAAAAAAACAAAAACAAAAAAAACCCTGAAACAGCTGAACTAGAAGAAAGACGTGGAACGGCAGTGCAACAGCCCACTAAACGGGTCTTCCAGTGCCTCAGCAAAAATAAGGTAAGCAGCACTACAAAGGGCCCCAGGCGGATAAACACCCTGCAGCATTCATCTGAAAGGAGCTGAAAAAAGCAACCTGGAGTCTTCCTAAAGTCCCAGCCTTGCTGATTCCAACCCAACACCAGAACCCTACAGCCTCCACCTGTCAACCAGGAAGAGATCCTGAAGCCCAGGTGGTAGAGCAGGCAAACACCAACACCTGGACCTCCAAGTGTCTCAGTGAGGGGCAAGGGAACCCGTGGAAACCAGCTCAGAAAACCACCAGGTGCCTCGACACTCTACTGCAAAGGAATCTCCCAGTGCATTAGCAGAAAGGAGGGAGGCAGCATTGCAAGGGGCCCCAGGCAGATAAACACCTTGCAGCACCCATCTAAAAGGAGCTGAAGAAAACTAAAGGAAAGGAAAAGCAGGCAACCTAGAATTGCCTGAAAGTTCCAGCCTTGCTGATTCCAGCCCCACACAAGGTAAGCTGGCAAAACCCTGTAGTGTCCAATTGCCAGCATAAGAGGCCCCAGCCCACAAAAGCAGTGACCAAGATCTAGGCTCCCAACACAAGAAGCTTGGGTCAGTGCCCTCTGTTCTCAATCTCTTTAAAGGCCAGGGAATAAAGAAATCATGAGTAAAAAGAAATGTACCGTGGATTCATATTATGAGAAGAGTGAAGATCAAGACAGAAATTCTGAAGAGGATATCATTGTTAACAAACCCACATCTGCAACATCAGAAGGGAATAGGAAGTGGTCTGAAGCCCAAAAAGCCTTCTTAGAAGAGCTCAAGAAGGATTTTAAAAGTCTAATGAGAGAGGTAGAAGAGTTCTTAAAAAACGCAATTGACCAATTGGAAAAAAAAGTACACTGAAGAAAACAAATCCCTTAAAAATACAATTGGCCAGTTGAAGAAGGAAGGAGAAAAACTAACAGAAGATAAATAAAATAAATTAATAAAATTTAAAAAAACCAATCACTTTTCATTGAGAATATGACACTCCTTCCATTGAAAAGTAAAGATCATTTTTGTTTTCACCATATCACTTTCACTATTTCATCTGTTAATTGTTGGGGAGGTAAAAGTAAAAAAGAATCTGTCATTCTATGTGCCTGTTTAATTCCTGTTTAATGATATTTTCCTGTCTTGTTTTCTAGACAGTTTCCGTGCTGTAACACCATCACAATCTCACCAAGTGAGGTAAGAAAAACTTCTTTGATGGTGTGGAAATGTGTTCTTGAGCCTGTTAGTCTCAAAAAGCAGCATAGATTGGAGAGGCAGTAGGGCCTTAATGAAAGGAGCAGGCTTTGAGTCAGGAGACATTGATCAGTATCCTGGGTCTAACACCTAATAGCTGAATGACGGCAGGCAAGCCATTGAATTTCTCTGACCCTCCTTTTCTTCATTATGAAAGAGAGTAGTGATACTTGTACTACTTATAAGTAAGTATACTTATACACAGGGTTCTTATGAGGGAAGTATTTTGGAAATTCTGAAGGGTCATATGAATGTGGAATGGTGAACTCTTGTTCCTGTTCCTTGCTCTTTTTGCCTTGATTACCTGGAACCTTGGGCAAATCTTTGTGAACCACTAATGTGATATTTCTTGTCTTGAGATGATGCCAGAATGAGATCTGAGAAATACTTGGAGCTTTTTGAAATGAATACCTTGTAATTTACAGTTAAGGGGAGAGTGGGAAGGTAGGGACAGATAATGGGTAAGATGGATTGGTGTTGAGGTTGATTTGCCAAATGGAAAAATTTCAGGTACATTAGAGTTCATATTTTTAAGTATCTTTTAACTAGAAACTCATCTTCAGTAGACTTTGTCTTTAAATATTTGTTTTCCCCTAGTAATGAGGGTGATGTCATCAAAGTTTTTATAAGAGTCCCTCTCCCTACAGAGGGACCCATACTAAACAATGGAGAACATTCTGGCACGTGCTTATCAGTGTTCACCTCCAATACCCTCTGTCTGCATTCTAAGAGCGAGCCTAAGATCTTCACATTTGATCATGTGGCAGATATGGACACCACTCAGGTAAGTACAACTTTTGTATCTGAAAAAGGAGAGCCTTTATATGTGCATGAAGATCCAGTAGTTTGGTTCCATATTTTGTAGAATTTTTTGAGGTATAGGTTTTAGTAATTACCTTTTGCTCATTGTTACCATAAGTAATATGAAATAGAAAAGGTTTGTTTTTTTTTAAATTTACAAGTAATGCAGAGGACTAATTTTGATAAATAGTTTGATTCTCTTCTTTGCTTGAAACTGCCTAGTCTGCTTTACTTTTCTACCTGATGATTGTCATAATTACTTGCCAAAAGTCAGTAATGGGAAAGAAGAACAAAAAAGGGCTTAATGGCAAATATGCTGCTTGGGGGAAAATCTAGTCTGGCTTAATGAAAAAACTGATTTATAGGCTGTTTTAAAATAAATGCTGTCTTATTACTTACTTTATTGCATATGGTGAATTAAAATACAAATAAGTGTTAACTGAATTGGAGTAATAATAACTGATATTTTGTGTTTAAAATTTGCAAAGTATTTAACTCTTTGAGGCTTACAACAACCCTATGAGGTGGCTACTACAGGTGTTATCCTGATTTTATAGATCACAGGGAGGTTAAATGATTTGTCAGTGGTCACACAGCTGTTTTGTCGGAGACAGAGTTTGAACCCAGGTCTTGACACAAGCATTCTATCTACCACATCACTATGTAAGTTAATTATAATTCATAATTGACTTACATAAACATGTACTATATGAGAATTAATTATATTAATATAACACATGATAATTTTTAAACCCACACATTGAGGGAATCCTTAATATTTTGAGCCCTTGATCTGTGAATATTTTAAACAATAATTTTCCAGCTCATGAGTAGGTCTGAAAAATAGAAAAGTTTTCCGGTTATTGGTTCAGAATCTTATACCTATAATCTTGCAAATTCCAAATTTGAAAGGGATCAGAATTAACATTTTATAGTAATTTATAAAATAGGCCCTGAATAATTGCATTGTCTATAAATGACAATAGACAACATTTGGCTATTGTGACTGTTAAAGGGTCCCCTGAACTTGTCTTTTTGAGTTGCCATATTTTCTAGAAACACTGGACTCAGAGCTTGGAGGAGGCCCTGAATGTGTCAAGGATGAAGCCCCCTTCCCCACCCGCGCTGATATAATTTGTTGTTGCGTCCCTAGCTGGACGCCTGTGTGTCCTTGGGAGGCAAGACAGGCACCAGCCAGTCAGTGCCAGGCTGGGATAATGCTTGTGCAGCTGGGATCCTTTGCAGATAAGCATACCCTCCTATCTTCATTGTCTAGCAGTTGTGGGGGGAAAAGAATGCAGCTTCTGCCATCACCTTTCTCCCCATGGGGAGTGGTCTTGTCTATTTTTTTTCCCACCTTTACTGTATATTGTTTCCCCTCCCACGTCATGCCCCTTCCTGATATGCCCTCCTCCCTTTTTCCTGCTTTTATAAAAATGTAAACTTCTGTAAGGACCATGAACTCTTTGCTCTGGCTTTGACGTACATATCCATGTTTGTTCATCCTGTAACAAATCTAATTCACATAAGTTTCATGAAAGTATAATTTCCTTTTGATGTGACTTCTGAGTAATATCTCTTTATGAGTTGAATTTTATGTGACTAGGTAGCTTAATATAAATTGTTATAGGGATGTAAAACCAAAATAACGTGTTTAAGAATCATAGAACATGGGGCAGCTAGGTGGCACAGTGGATAGAGCTCTGGCCTTGGAGTCAGGAGGACCTGAGTTCAAATACAGCCTCAGACACTTGAATTGCTAGCTGTTTGACCCTAGGCAAGTAACTTAACCCCAGTTGCCTCTCCAAAAAGCAAAAAATAAAAAAAAAATCACAGAACCTGAGCTGGAAGGGATCTCATGGTCACCAAATTAAATTCTTTGGACTTCTAGTACTGTTCAAACCACTGCATAAGACAGTTACATGGATGGGCATGAGTCTCTTATAAAGGCTATTAGTAATAAAACAGGAGTTTTTAACCTGAAGCCTATGAACTTTTTTTTATAGTCCTCAATATAAGTTTATTTATTTTTAGTTTTCAACATTTGCTTCCACAAGATTTTGAGATCCAAATTTTCACCCCATCTTGCCCCTCCCCACACCCCAAGATGGCATGCATTCGCAATACACCTTCTCCTAGTCTGCCCTCTCTTCTATCTCTCCCCACCTTCTCTTATCCCCTTCCCCTTCTATTTTCCTGTAGGGTAGGATAGATTTCTGTATCCTATTTCCCGTATTTCTTATTTTCCAGTTGCATGTGAAAACATTTTTTTTTAAAACATGCATTTTTAAAACTTTAGGTTCCAAATTTTCTCCTTCCCTCCCTCCCCACCCACCCTCATTTGAAGAGGCAAGCAACTCAATATAGGTTATACGTGTGCAGTTATGCAAAACACTTCCATAGCAGACATGTGAAAAACTAACTCTATTTCCCTTAATCCTATCCTGTCCCCCCATTTATTCTATTCTTTCTTTTGACCCTGTCCTCCTCAGAAGTATTTACATCTGATTACCCCTTTCTCAATGTGCCCTCCTCTCTGTCATCCCCTTGTTCTCTTTTCTCCTTCTCCCCCTATTTTCCTGTAGGGTAAGACAGATTTCCACATCCAATTGAGTGTGTATGTTATTCCTTCTTAAGCCAAATCCTATGGGAATAAGATTCCCTCATTTCCTCTCACCTTCCCCCGTTTCCCCTCCACTGTAAGAGACTTTTCTGTTTTTTTTGTGAGATAATTTACCCCATTCTAACTCTCCCTTTCTACTTCTCCCACTATAATCCTCTCTCACCCCTTAATTTTATTCTCCAAATATGACCCTTTCATCTTCAACTCACCCTGTGCCCTCTATCTATCTATGTATGTACATACACATACATATAATTTTTCCCTCCAACTACCCTAATACTGACAAAGGTCTCATGAGTTATAAATATCATCTTTCCATGCAGGAATATACACAGTTCAACCTTAATAAGTCTCTTACGATTTCTCTTTCCTGTTTACCTCTTCATGTTCCACTGGAGTCTTGTATTTGAAAGTCAAATTTTCTATTCAGTTCTGGTGTTTTCATCAAGAATGCTTGAAAGTCCTCTGTTTCACTGAATGACCATTTTTCCCCTGAAGGATTATACTCAGTTTTGCTGGGTAGGTGATTCTTGGCTTAATCCTATCTCCTTTGCCCTCCAGAATATTATATTCCATGCCCTGTGGTCCTTTAATGTAGAAGCTGCTAAATCTTGTGTTATCCTGATTGTGTTTCCACAATACTTGAACTGTTTCCTTCTGGCAGCTTGTAGTTATGTTCTCCTTGACCTGGGAACTCTGGAATTTGGCTACAATATTCCTAGTAGTTTTCCTTTGGGGATCTCTTTCAGGAGGAGATTGGTGGATTCTTTCCATTTCTATTTTGCTCTCTGGTTCTAAAATATCAGTGCAGTTTTCCTTGATAATTTCTTGAAAGATGATGTCTGTGCTCTTTTTTTGATTATGGCTCTCAGGTAGTCCAATAATTTTTAAATTCTCTCTCCTGGATCTATTTTCCAGGTCAGTTGTTTTTCCAGTGAGGTATTTCACATTATGTTCTCTTTTTTCATTCTTTTGGATTTGTTTTACAGTGTCTTGATTTCTCATTGTTGAGGGCCAGAACTGGAAAGTCTAAATATGGGATAAGGAATTTAGGTCAGAGCTTGCCTCTTCCCTTTTTCTACCCATAAAGGCTTAATTATTCAGACTATTTGGCTCACCAGCCTCTGACCCTTAGACCTCTATTGTAAGCAGGTATAAACGATTAAGGATGTGCATAAGGGCTGGGGTTAGTCACATGGTGAGGACTCCTGGGATGATTGTTAGCTTTCACTATATAATCCAGACCCTCAGATAATAAATTGGCTCAGTGTTTCACTGACCGCCTGGCCCACATCTTTATTTTACACTCCTCCGTTTGATGCAATACTTAGTCTCAGGGGACAGGTGGTGCTATGAACAGGGACTGAGGAGGGTACGAGAGGGGTGGTTCTCTTGGACTCTGGAGAAGAAAAAAGAACCTTGGCAGCTCCATCACTGTGAAAACAAGGTAAGAGATCTACGGTCACAACACCCTATCTTTTACACCAGGCTGAGTGGGAATATAGGGGAAACAAAACAAAAGTAAAAAGGCTTGGTTGTAGGAGTATAAAAAAAGAAAAGAAGAGGACTCGAGCATATGAATAGTGCCGCTTTGGGACAGCCACACGCACTTACTTTTGGTTCTGGGAGGCGTGCCTGGGATTGAAAGTATGGGTCAAACACAAAGCAGAAGCAAAGACAGAGAATATTATCTAAAACTTTTCAAGGAAATAGTGAAAGAAAGAGGTTTATTTATTACAGATGGTCAGTTACAGGAATTTTTGGAATGTGTAGAAACATGCTGTCTGTGGTTCCTTCCAGAAGGAACAATAGACTTAGAAACATGGGAAACGGTGGGCCAACAAATGAGTGAGCACTACAAGGAAGTAGGTCTAGGTGCATTCTCCATGGCTACATTCTCAATTTGGAATGTGCTAAAAGTGTGTCTTACTCCTCCAGAGAAAGTGCTATTAACAACAAAAGTACTGGAAGAAGAAGAAGAGATGAATAGAGTATTTAAGGAAAAGCTTAGAATTGTAGAAGATGTTATCTATGCAAAATCTATCACACCTTCAGCACCACAGCATCCCCCACCTTCATATAGATCAAGCTCATACAGAGAAGATAGTGAGGAGACAAATAAAGATCAAAAAAGCCATAAAACACATTGTAAAGGGATATTAGAAGAAGCAATCATAAAAAGAAAGAAAAAAAGAGTAAGAGGAATCACACATTTTCAAGCACAAGTCATAGCAGCTGCCTTTAATAATGTCCAAAAGCCTCAACGAACACTAAAATGTTTTGTGGGAAACCAGGTCACCTGAAAAGGGAGTGTAGAATACCCAGAAAAATCTCTCAAAATTCTCCTAGTACTCTGTCCCAAATGGCTCCCTGGTAAGCATTGGGCTTTGAAATGTAGATCTTCTGTTGATATTGATGGGCAATCTTTAAACCCCCCGGGGGGCCACTCTGGCCCCAGCAAACAGTAGGAGCTCTGCTGTGTCACCCCCAGGCCAGCTCCGACTCCACAATAACCACTGTGCTTGATCTTATACATGCTCCCTCTGGTAGCGCTGGGTTGGATTTAAGTTCTCATATTTCTACAGAAATTAGTGATGATGTGGTTTGCATTCCCACTGTTGTATATGGTCCACTTCCTGCTGGGACTGTGGGACTTATTTTAGGTCTCATGGTTATCCCTGGAGTAATAGATTCTCATTATGTTGGGGAAATTAATGTTATGTTGTATGCTTTCCCTCATTGCAACATTTCTATCAAAAAAGGGGAAAGGGTAGCTCAAATGATTATCATGGAGTATAAAAAGTTAGGAAAAACTGCTAAAAGAGTAAGGAACAGAAGGCTTTGGGAGCACAGGGATGTTTTGGCCTAGAACTATCACAGATGTCAGACCTACATTAAAGATAAAAGTACAGGGAAGAGATTTACTGAAACATATGAATGTCACCATAAGTAGCAAGAATTTTTTGTAGGGGTCACAGCCAAAGATAAAAGAACAGTACAAGTTCCAAAAATAACTTGGAAAGAAGGGATTCCCATATGGGTGGACCAGTGACCGCTTAATCTAGAAAAAATCAGGGCTCTTCAACAGATAGTAGAAGAACAATTAGCTGCAGGACACAGAGAACCATCCACGAGTCCATGGAAGTCCCCAATATTTGCCAAAAAGAGGTCAGGAAAGTGGAGGATATTGAAGATCTCAAACAGACAAATCATGGCATGGAAGAACATGTTAAGGAACCTTTGGAACTTAGAAAAGTATTGACCAGTTATGGATAAGTGTTTTAAGCAGCAAGAAGGTGCATCTTTGTAAAGAATTGATTGAAGTAGACCAACTAAAAACAGCTGGAAAAAGAGAATCATTATTGGATACCACATACAGGGACTTTTAAATACCCAAAGATTGAACTTAGATGTCAGCAAAAAAAATCATAGTAGTAGAAGATACAATAAAGTTCAGAACAGGGATTTCTATTACTATGGAACACTTGACAGGTACAGAGATCAAAAACTTTTAACAACAAAACAAGAGGTACAGGCCACTTAGGTTTTTTGCTTAAAAACATGATTTTCAAAAGGCAATTCACTTGTACATAGGATATTTTTCCTTCTTTTTAATAAGGAGAGGAAAAACAGTAGAAAAAGACTTTAATAACAACAGATTTTGAAAGGTTTCTTTGGTAAGTTTTATAAGAACACATTCAGAGCTAAAATAAAATTCTCCTATTGCTAGTCTTTACGTGCTTCATATCATCACTGTCCCAAGTAGAAGAGAAAAGCAGTTTTCAAAACTTTATTACTAACAAATGGTGGAGGTATAAGCACAAAAATTAGGATCTGGTTATGGTTCTTATAGTGTGTACCTTGTCATGAGGTGGAAAAAATACTTTGAGTTATCTGTCCACTCTTACAAATTTATTTCACCCCTCAAAGAAAGTAAGATCACATATAATTGCCAATCTCAGCTAGTTAAGATGCTCTACATTGGAGTAACATGAGTGGCACAACTGAAGATTGAGGGGTGTTGGGAAAGCTGTATAGGAAACCTTATGCTTTCTCCTACTCCTGAATCTGTTTAAGTTTTGACTTTGCAGAAGCATCTAAGTTTTTCAAAAAGAAAAAGCCTTATAGGAGAGTTTATTATGAAATCATTAAATGTTTTTTCAGAGTATATATAGAGCTGCAAGAACAATTACAATCGGTTTACCCAAGAGGAAGGAATGTTTCAGATGCTGTCTTTGATTCTGTAAACAGCCAGGGCCCCACACCTGTTTGCTCACCAACATCTTTAGAGAGGCGGAAAGCTCAAGCAGCTGAAATGAATGATGATAAAGTAGATAATGAAATTGTACTTAAACTACCACCAGTTGTTAACAAGAGAGTAACACCATTGACTCAGACTCCACCGAGTTCAAGAAGAAAGGCAAAGAACAATAAAGAATTATCCTGAATATGGTGTCTGCTCAGGGAACTTGGGTTTTGTTATTAGAACCTGTTCTTATAAATGATGGCAGTTCTGAGTAGTTCTTCTTAACCATTTGTTAATTGTTTATTTGGAATGGGTGTTCTTATCAGCACAACCAAAATATACCCTCCAAACATATCCATCTAGGACAGCAGAACTGGCTAAAAAGGCATATAAAAGAGTACTCCAATTAGTAGGCTGCCTTCCATGTTCTGTATATCAGCCTTATAATAAAAAGCAGAGAGAAAATTTAATAAGCCAAGAACATTCATGGCAAATATTAGTTGCTATTTTTCAAGGTGTTCAAAGAGTAGGTAGTAGACAAATGGCCAAACAAAGAATTCTTTGCACATACTTCAAGGCATTCAAATAATACAATGACACTGGGAGTAAAATGCCCTACTGTGAACTTAGAGAAATTGAATTTCATTACACTGAGTTTTTAGGATATTTGGAAATTTTTTCAGGTTGGATTTTTTTCTGGTTAAAAGCACCTGTTTATTGGTTAGAATATCAACTCATGGCAACCTGTTACACTGAAGCACTGTACAAATACAAAAATCAAATCCATTGGAAAAAGTTATAAACAGAAGTTCATAGTAAGTGACCATTTCACAGGGAAGTCATTGATGTAGAAGCACTATTGGAGAATGACAAGTCCCTGGTTTTTATTAGCTTAAATTGGAGCTGTTAAGACTTTATTTGGATACAGACACACTCCAAAGGCAATGTGGAATCGATTCATCTTTTGTAATATTTACTGACTCATCTGGTCCAAGTCAGCACAGAGTGTGTAAAACAAATATTCTAAGATGCGAACAAATACAGTGGAAATTTGACTATTATACAGTGACTGCAAAACAAGTTTTTAGAAAAACCAATTACATTTAGACTCCTTTGGACGTAATATGTAATACAAGTGTTCAAATGCCTCTTGGAAAGGAGAAAAAACATAGAATAGAGCACCATTGTGTAAGTAAAACAAAGGCTTGAAATATCTAAAGACTATTCCACTGAAGTCCATAATAGTCAAAATCCTAACATACTGTGTGTGGTACAAGATTTTGTCAGACACATTTGATCTGTTGTCAGTTGTATCTGTTGGTGGCACTTTGCACATTTTTACCATTGCAACACTGCATTAACGTTCTGCATGTATAACCAGTAATGGATGAAAAGGCCTGTGGTGCCTCCAAAGTGTAGGAAGAAATTTTGCCAGCATGCATGCCAGATTACTGAATTTAAGGTGTACCAGCAGCCCATGCTTGCTTAATTTATACATGAAATGCAATCTTAAAATCAGTCATTCTGCTATAGAACACCACAGATAATGCATCTGTTTTCACTGATTCTAACCAGTCTAGTGGCATTGACTGTCCTTTGAATAAAGGGAGAAAAATAATAATGGGATGTTTTTCATGCTTTTCCAAATAAAACACATCATTGGAATCCTACATAACCCTACCGGGCAAGCATTTGTGGAATGAAAAAATAGATCCCTGAAAATGCTTCTCCAAAAGCAAAAAGGGGGAGAAGCAAGGGGAAGGCCACAAAGACAATTGGCAAGAGCGGTATATGCTCTAAATTTTCTTATACCTGATAGAGAAAGCTGTACACCGGCTGCAAAACACTTTAAGGTTTATGGGAAAGATAATAATGAAGAACAAAAGACTCAAAAAAGAGTCACGTGGTAGGACCCAAAAACTAATCATTGGTTTGGCCCAGATAGGTTGTTGACTTGTGGGCGAAGGTATGCTTCTGTCTTTCCAGATGGTGCAGAAAGACCAATATGAGTTCCTGAACAGAACATCCGGATCTGTGCTCAAAGTGACCCAGGAACTCAGACTGCAGAACAAGCACAGAGACAAAAGAACAAGGAAGGAACACTCAAGATGATGGAGCAAGACCCTGAAGTTTGATAAAAGTATTGACTCTCATTTTCTCCTGCAGCCTTGAGGTGTTGTTTTTTGTCAGTGCCTGTACAATGTACTCTTTCATCTTACAAGGACAAGCTGGTCAGAATTGAGTTTCCTCCTCTTCTCCATCGTGGAATATGATTTCTCAAGGAAGTATCAACCCTAGGACACATTGCTAAAGTGACTAACATTGTACAAGAAGAGTTAAGTTTGCATTGCTTACCACCTTGCAGGGGGATTATACCATGGCAAAGGGATGCTTCCAGTGTGTTTTAGGATAGAGGTGACTTTTGATCATTGTGTTATCTGGGATATTGTATCCTTTGTATCACATATTGTCTTATCGATGTCATTTGACAACAGCTTCATTGTGTTAGCTAGGATATTGTATCTTTTGTATATTTACCAACTTTAAGAAGCACTGAAGCATTGGTTTGAAATGTCTGTGATTTGTCTTTTGTTAACAGTCATTTCCCAGGGACTCAACCCCAGAACCTAGCCGAGAAATTCTGGAAAATTGGGTGTAACCAATATAGTTAAAAAGTACCGGCTTTACTATGTCATCTATTTTCATGGGCAACATTGTTTGTTATATCTCACTATTGCTTGTTACATTATCTATGGTAAAATCATGGTTCAAGTTTTTGGGTACAGATGTTCATCACCTTAAGTCAATTATAAAAAAAAGAAAAGGGGAGTTGTTGAGGGCCAGAACTGGAAAGTCTAAGTATGGGATAAGGAATTTAGGTCAGAGCTTGCCTCTTCCCTTTTTCCTACCGTAAAGGCTTAATTATTCAGACCATTTGGTTCACCAACCTTCTGTGCCTAAAGGTTAGAATACTGTGACCCTTAGACCTTGATTGTAAGCAGGTGTAAACAATTAAGGATACTCATAAGGGCTGGGGTTAGTCACATGGTGAGGACGCCTTGGGATGATTGTTAGCTTTCACTATATAATCCAGACCCTCAGATAATAAATTGGCTTACTGTTTCACTGACCTTCCTGGCCCACACCTTTATTTCACTCTCTTCCCTTTGATGCAATACTTAGTCGAGGGAGACATCTCATAAAGTCACTAGCTTCCAATTGCTCTATTCTAATTTTTAAGGAAGTATTTTCTTCAGTAATCTTTTGGACTTCCTTTTCCATTTGGCCAGTTTTGTTTTTTAGGGCATTCTTCTCCTCATTGGCTTTTTGGACCTCTTTTGCCATTCAGGTTAGGCTATTTTTTAAGGTGTTATTTTCTTCAGTATTTTTTTTGGGTCTCCTTTAGCAAGCTGTTGACTTGTTTTTCATGATTTTCTTTTTTTATTTTAATTTTTTAATTTTTTTGAATTTTTTTTATTCTTTAATTTTTATTTTTTTAATTTTTTTTCCATATGCTTTTGAGTTGAAAATTTTTCTCCCTTTTTCTCCCCCCCCCCACCCTCCCCAAGACGGCTCACAATCTGATATAGGCTTTACATTTACATACCCATTAAACATATTTCACATTAGTGAAGTTGTAAGTAAAAATTAAAACCAATATGAGGAACTATCAGAAAGTTGAAA